GTACCCAACACCATATAACTGGGGCCAGACTCAGTAACCGTAGTGAAACTCTGCAGTGGCCGGTTAGCCTGAAAATTACTCCGGTTAGCCTAAATAACGCCCCGGTTAGCCTAAATAACGCTCCGGTTAGCCTGTTTACGGTTAGCTTGGTAACACGATCCAGTCTAAAAGTCTGCAGGCTGCATTTTACCCTCAGTCTGGCATTTTACCCCTGGTCCGCAATGTCCGTTTTACACTGACCGCTGTACTGTGAAAGTGCGAGAGGAAACTTTCTGGGTTTTTTTGCACATTTTTTTTCCTATCACGAAGAAGAGATAGTGAACAACTGTATGACATCGCAAGCGTTTTTGCTTCATATTGCTACATGTACCATTTGTTTCAAGTGACAATTTTTCCGATGCCCAGATTTCTGCTAGGAAACCAGGCCATCTCTAACAACCATGGATAAAAATGTTAATTTTATTGCAAACATCGATCGAATCAATTGAACCCCTGACCATCTTGTTAACCTTCCGTCGGCGTTTGTGAAATTTTGAACATTCTTATTTCCCATCAAACCTTCAAAATATTTGCACTTTTTACCTGGATACGGAAAAGGGCTTCATACATGACAGAGAGATATCCGCTGACAACGCACAACGATCGTCTCCAAAGATGACTGTTGTTTTTCCACGATGAACACGTTGGGAAATCGCCTTAATTTTTGGCTTCCGCGATTATAGAGTACAGTCATGTATTCCATTAAAGAGTGTTGTACGTAGCTTGCTGGTTTGTGGACAAAATGTATGGCGGAATATGACAAGTTTTGGTGCAGACTGAGTGAAATTTGTTAACTACTCTTTGGATCGGACGAGGCCTAACTTGTCTGAACTTTTGTACTTTGTGACTCTCCCAAGCAAGTAAATGAATGAATGAGTATGTTGTTTGACGGATTTATTCTATAGAATCTACTATCAGCTTTGGATATAGCCAACCTGTGGCTTGGATTTGTTCATTTTACAAGGTTGAGCCACCATCGATATACACTTTGATATACAAACATGGGATCAGAATGTAGTGTGGAGGAAGATTATGAGTTGGACGAGCCTGTTAATTGTAACAGCAAAGAATGGAGTTTATTCGCAGCAAGGAGAAAACAAGATGACTTTAAAGCCACAGTATTTGTTCACGAAAAGAGTAGGAAAGTAAAGAACAAGAATGACGAAAGGATTGCTAAAGCAGCGCAGGTAATTAACTAGTAAGACAATCTCAGTGCAGACTGCGATTGATAGCTCTGGCACGGTAGTCCCATAAGTACTCACCCCTGCTCGGTTCACTTCCGGTTTCTATCTACCTTGGTAGCCTGCTAGAGCTTTTCCCCTTAACAATGAGTACGTTTCAAGGTTGTATTTTCATTCAAGGTCCGAAAATTATGTACAATTACTGTTTGTCACGACAGCTTTTAAATTTTACTCTGGTGTTTTACGATGATTTTCGTTCATTTTAAATTCAATAATACATTTAACAAACGTGACAAGTTAGCTCTTTGTGCCAACTTTGTAACTTGATACTTTTGTTTTCCTCGCAAAGGTACATAACACGAAACTCTTGTTTTCTTCAAAACACACAAGATGAGCTTGTTTGGGGGGATAAATGAAAGAAAATTCAATATCTGATGAAGAAATGGAAGAGAAACAATTTTGTTTTTGCTCAAAATGCAAATTTTCTTATCACAGATGAACAAGAACTAATTTAATTATCAGATAGTCATGGAATACCACTTACTTTTTCTGTTGTTACCTTTGTTGTTAACAATAAAACAATTCAAAATTAACACACAACAATATTGATTGATACCACTGCGAAGCATTTCAATAAGAGGTATTGAAGGTAAACAGTGCTACTTGGCCGATATTATCCTGCATCGATGAACGAGTCTCCTCAAAGACTGATTAAATTGATTTGCACTTTCATTAGGTGCCACGGAGTCTGCAGCAATATTTGAATGCTTCCTGGTTTCTTTTGTCACAAATTTACAATTTGCAGAATATTAAAGCCACTAACTTGGGAACATTTTGGTCTCTCTTACAGGCGCAGTTAAGGCAAGAAATAAATAAGCCACTAATGAGAAACTTCACATTACCCTTCTTTATTTAAACCCTGACAAACATACTATTGTAGTTTGAAAACAGCAGATGATATTTGTTGAACCGACCTGTGGGTAATTCTAAAAGACACGTTTAACTTTTGTACTAAAAAGGGACAAGTGGTGCTACCTAGTACCTGACATTACATGACATAAAAAACCACATGGAAACATAGTATATAACACTTACGATACTAGAACGCATGCCTCTTACAAGTTGGGTTCTACCATAAGGAAAACTACTAAACATTTGTGTGTTATCCCGTATGCAATGTATCCTCCACCTAATGTATAGAAGACACAAACGCCAACTAATCTGTGCATGCATTTAGAGCAAATTGGTTTTGTTCTTAAGAGAATAGCACCACAAGGAGAGTAAGGAGTTGCTTGAAACAAATATATAGCTTTGCGATGTTTACTCCTAACTGATGTAGATATAACACGTTTTATGTAGGGTGCACTTGTACCTTTCCCAGCCCATCCCCACCATTTCCTTGTCTCTAGACTAATTAATTGAAATTAATTAATTAAACAAACATTAAAGTTTACACCTTAGCGCTTCACGCCTTAGTGGCAGGCAGCCCCCAAAACCATCCCAATAGTGCATTCTGCACTAATGACTCTAAAAATCGTGACGTAATTCCTAAAATGTTTATTCTCGGGTTGCATTATCGTTCAGACTATCGATGTTATTCCTAGAATTTTTTGTAAAACAGCTATATTTCTTTGAAATACAAATGGTTTGTTTTGTTTTATTCCAGTGCGAAATATCTTATTCCAAACTCACATCTTGTAAAGGTATAGACTTGTCTCAAAAACGGAAATAGTTTGGAATCATCAGGTGTTTAATTTGTTTAGTGTGTTTTTGGTTTTCGTCCTATTATTACCATGCTGACTCGTTTTATGACAGTTTACCTTTGATATTATAAAGGATCGGCGCTATATAAATACTTTATTATTATTATTATTATTAAAGGAATATCACACCTGAATTAAATAAAATGTTCTGCTCACAGTAGTCACTCTAGTGTAATTTGCTCA